TGCTCTCTTCATAAATCTTCTCATAGCTTCCACGAAAAGGCAAATTATTCTTGGCAAGTGTTTTCACAAATGCAATTATTATCAATATAACCCGTCTCAAGTGCTTTTTTTTCGTTGTTAACTTGTTCTTGTATACTTTTATCTATTGTTTGAAGCTTTCCAAATCTTTCCTCCAACTCAATTCATTTGCTCATGCAAGTAATGTGTTCGTTACCACTTTCATGGCCTTTAAGTCTCTCACCAATATTTCTCTTTAAATCCTTCGATAGCCAATTGAATCTTATTTCCCTCTTGCTTAAACAACTTACAACAAAAGCAAAATACTCTACCCAAAAATTTTGAGTATATCAGCCTTATCCTATCAAATTTTTTCCCATTTGGTAAATGTTGAATGTAATGAACATGTGAGAAATGCCTATGCCTAGAAGAATCATCCTTAGGGAAGTTGAACTCACAATTTTTTCTCACAGGACCTCTTTTGACTAAAAAATCTCGTAAATTCTGGTCAATTATTTTCTAAGTCCCCGGATCATCTATATTTGAATGCTCACATTCCACATTAATCTCATCATCTTGATTGGCTTCTGCACTCCCAAATTCCCCACTTCCTTCTTCATTCACCAAATTTTCATTCTCATTATTCAAGTCTTCAACGGATTGTTATGTTTGTTTGTCACTTGTAAAGAACTTATCAATAGCTCCTCTTTGACACTTGACTAATTTTTCGACTCTTTGCTTTTTTTTCCTTTTTGTGAATTCAGATAAATAATTTCTTTTAAGAGTCATGATGAGCTCAGATCGAAATTCTTTTTTAGATCAAAATTCAAAACAAGAGCACCACCACCACTTAACAAAACACAAAATTTTTAAATTATGTAATGTGAACTATTAAACTTAATCAAATTATTCTTGATGATGTAAATACCAATATTATAATAGCAATTGAGTAACAGATAAGACAAATATTTAAGTAATTGAATAAAAAAAATAACGTACCTATTCTGCTCAGTGCTGCTCTGTTTGTGTGTTGCTCACTGCTCAATGCTGCTCCGTTGTGCTCTTTGTTGGGCTGTTGCTGTCAAGCTATTGGAAAAATTAGATTAAGAGTAGTTAGGGTTAGGAATTAGATAGAGAGAGAGAGAATAGACCCTTTTAATTTTGAATGGGTCTTTCAATTTTTTAATGTGTTAATTTATTTTAAGTTAGTTTGGGCATTTTTTAAATTTTTTTGGGATTTAAAACATACCTAATCTATTATATTAAACTATAATAGAAGAGGCCCCCTTTTTTGGATCTATTTTGAGGGGTCCTAGGCCATGGCCTGATAGGCCTATACCCAGGGCTGGCCCTGGATATGGTGATAGATGCCAATTTACAACTAGGGGTATGGTGTGTATAGTGTAGTATGTGCAAATGTGTTTTTGTGTGGTGTGTATGCAAATTATGAGTTGGAACTATATTAAGAACATTTGATGTGTGGAATGAAAAAAATAAAATATAATCAAATTTATAAATATGTGAACTAAGATAATGTGTCACGACCCGCTTCCCGTACCTAAGGGTTAAGCATCGTGATGGCCAGTAACTGAAGTTACCTACGGCCAATTTTTAAACAAATCAATAAACGCAAGCGGAAGTAATATTTAAGTAAGGGTACGAAAATAATCATTGGAGCTTCTATTTTTATTACAAAATTTATTGACCAAAAAGGTCGATATTTACATATAAAAATATCATAAAGGTGTTGTGTGCGTGTCTATCCTGTAGCCCCGCATCTAAGACTTTTCAAAAGCTATTTCTGAATTGCATGTTTCTTGAAAATTGGTAAACAACTATAAACACATGGCAGAGTGAGAAATATTATACCAAGAGTATAAGGGCACGAAATAACCATGGATAGTTATGTAGCCAAAACATTTACATAACTCAGTTTGGTAAATAAATCATTTAAGTAGCAGAAACTGAAATATAGATATTATGTAAATATATCACCATAACCACGGTACAGAACAGAACAGAACAGAGTAGAGGTCACAGAAGTGACAATCGGAACAGAGATACGGATTCTAGAGGTGGCTCGTACGGATTCTAGAGGTGGCTCCCACAATAGTGTAGCACTTAACTCCGCACAGTACTTTGCTCGGCACAGAACAGAGGTAAATATATCCATGACAAACAGAGGACCACAAAGTGGTCAAACAGAGCCCAATAATTATTTAAGTCCCCCAAGGCGTGGGACTCCCGTGGTGGTACTTACAAAACATAATTGTTTATAAGGTCATAGTCAAATATTCTTTAAAATATAAACAAACATATCCATGGGTTTCATTTTAAGCAAATAGGGTTCAGAAGATAAACCACGTAACTGAAACCTTTATAAAACATAACTTTTATTAAAAACATAACTTGTATAAAACAGATTTTAGTAAGTCAAAAGATACGTAAAATACATTTTAGTGACTGAAGATATAATATAACTCACCTTAATTTTAATGCCTTACTCTTTCTTTCCATTATAAAAAACCATTTCACCTTCCACTATTTTTTCCTTCTTCCTCTCTTTTCTTTCTTTCCTTTCTTTCTTCTTTCCTTCTTTTCTTTCTTTTCTTTTCCTCTCTCAGGTGAGACGCCTCCTCCTTAAATAGAGAGGAGAAACCACTCTCTGACCAACACGTGTTCAGGAGTCGCTTTTTCACAGATTTAATTCATAATTATATAGATTCATTCTTATCCTTAATAGATATTTAAGATAATTACTTTTTAACCTAATATTTTAATATAATTATAAAAATAAAATAATTTTTAATTAAATTACATTTTATCATATGTCAACAGAAAATAAATTATTTATTTTATTACCACACCCATTATTATTATTATTTATATTATCTATATTATTATTATTTATATTTTTACCACTAGACTCATAATAATTGTATTATTTTGTAAAATTGCACATATTAATATATAATAAATTATATATATTTTTCGAACTGAGATTAAATAATATTAGTATAAATTGTACAGAATAATTAAAAATATGAGTTATCACATAATGTGCATAAAGACTAAATAACGTGTGGAAAAAAAATTAACTATGAATTTGTCTAAGACCATAATATAATTTTGAAAAAATGAGGGGTTCCTCTCCAGTTTGGTTTCAAATCGGATGGTCTCGAGCTGTGGTGGGCCCTGAGATGGGCCCACTTTGATGATAAAAACGTTCAGTATATAGAGACAAAAATATATATTGATTAAGTGACTATCGATATTCGATCAACGTATTTTTTTTGTTGGAATGATATATCAGACGAGTTTTAAATATTGAACAGTTTCAATTATCAAAATGAGTTCGAATTATGGCCTCAAATGACCCAACAGGACTATCTAGTTTGACAGTTGATTGGAGTAGAGCCATACCCTTTGGAAAAATTACAAAAAAACTATAGGGTTGGACCCTTATAATAAAACAAATATTAATTTTTAATTTTATTAATTGAAACCATAATATTTTGAATTGTTTTTAATATAAATTTTTTTTCGTTAAGCAAAATTGATAAAAAATAATATTTTAATCATTAAAATAAAATGGTAAGGAAAAAGGTTGAGATTCTCTTTTTTCTTAACCCCCACCACTCCCAATGTATTGGGATTAACCAACTTTTTATTTTTTTTTTAATTTTTTTTTTCCTCTTATCACTCATTGACATGTGTATGCGGGGTTGAGGGGGTTAAGGAAAAATGAAGTTTCTATCATTCCTGAAATGGTAATTTAGATTTTTATGTACGATGAGTTTTATAATTAAAATATTATACTTTTTTGTTAATTTTAATTAATAATAAATATAAATAATTTAAATTAAAAATTAAGATTTAAATTAACAAAATAAAAAATTGAGCATTTATTTTGTTATAGTAGGATTTTTTGAAATAATTTTTTCATTATGGCGCGCATTAATTCGTGAAACACAGTAATATTATAGTGAACCGCTGTCCAGCAGATCCCCATCCCATCTGCAAAACCCTAATCTTGTCCACTATTACACTCACACCAGACCAGCTAGGGTTTAACAAAGCGTCGCTCTTGAATATCACTCAATTCACAAATTCGAGTTCGCCATCAACATGGCTTTGAACCTAATCGTTCCCCAAAATCCCCAAAGCCCACAAAAATTCGATCATTTCATTGGCGAAAACCACGAACTCGTACTAAACCAATCGATTCAAAGCCTTTTAGACTCGCACAGTTGCGATTTTTCAGCTTTTACCACCACTTTCTACGAATTGATGCAAACTAGAGCTAATCCACCTCTCGAAACCATCTGGGTCTACTCAGCTTTAACTTTTCGCCACACGAATTCACCAAAAGTTGAGCCTTTGAATCGAATCTCAGCCACAAAAACCCTGTTTCAATTGATATCAGGTTGTTCGGCCACGTGTAGCTCATCGAAGAGCATCGGATTGCTCGCACCGGTCATATATGAAGTGTATAGAGTAATTGCTGATTTGAAGGGTAAAGACTTGGGTTCTAAGAGGGAGAAGAAAGTAATGAGAGAGATTAAGTATTTGGTTAATGCAATTCTTGGGTATATTAGTGTATGTTGTTCTGCAAATGATGATTCTGATGGTTTGGGTTCGGATTCAGAGGATTTTATTCGATCATTGGGGGATTTAATTCGTGTTTGGATTGGTGGTGATGATGGGATTGATGACACTTTAGAATCTAAGGAAATGTTTAAATTGTTTTTCCCTCTTTTGGGTGATGACATTGTTGGATGGCCTAGTGTAGAAGGGAGAGCTGTTAGTGTTAGTGAGCTCGCCGGAGTTGTGATCACAGAGGCATTTTTGTTGAGATTGTGCTTGAATTTCAGCTCAGGAGTTTCGAAACAAGAGTCGAGGATTTGGGCCATCGGTTGCATAACTGGGTTTCGGCATTTATTTTTCTTCGGTTAGTTTACTTTTATTTGAACTCAGGATTGCTTAATTCTCATTTCCAATTCCTAGTGGTGTTCAAGTTGGCAAATTATGATAAATCTTAAACAGTTGAGAGAGTCTTGAGATAGACAATTTGTGTTTAGAACGAGGGACATCATAAGCTTATTATGACTGATTTTGTATAGTTGCTGACATTCTATTGCTATGTGGTAGATCTTCCTTTTATTTGGTCTATACAGGTGGTACACATAACGTAACTAAACACCTATTATATTTGTGTTTGATTAGGAGCTACAAGCCTTTATCATTGCCTTGTAATTTTTATTCATGTAATGAAGGATAGAGTCTATTAGATGATATAATTGTTTGCGTTAATTTTCTCTGCAAATATTTCTTTCAAAGTGTGCTCACATTCTTTTATCTCCTATGTGTTTCCAGAGACCCTCGTGAGGATGCTGCTGCAGAACAGTTTACCTGTAATCTCCCTATTGGTAAGTGTGTGCGTGTTTTTCTTCTTCTTCTTCTTCTTCTTTTTTTTTTATTTTTTTTTATTTTTTTATTTTTAATCTTGTGTGAATGCTATCGAGTCATTGTACTTTCTCATTTATGGACTGATATAGGGCCACCTAATTGCAACTTTGGGAGCATACTTGTTCTGTTAAGCCCAAGGCCGGCCTTGAGGTTTTCAGGCCCTCGATGAACTATTAAAATGAGGCTCTTTATTATCACAGCAAAAAAATTTGTGTATAAAATGATTCAAGTACTTACAATTTTTTTTATTATTTGTTAATATCCGCACAAAGTCTGCTTGCATATGATCACTACCTTATATATGATACAATTTAGTTACATAGATCAAGACATGAGGAAATTATTAGAAAAACTCAAAAAGATAAATATACGGTCTTGTTGCTTTATACTTAAACAAAATCTCACAACAAGAAATAATATCAAACAAACCTGCAGTTATAATACCAAATAAAAATGAACCAACTATATCAATTAATTTGATTTATTTGTCACTGTAGAGATTGGAACAATCAAAAGCCATAAAGATGGCAATAAACAGAATTCCTAATTTTTGACAGCACAGAATGAGAAACTGTTGAACAATTACGTATAGAATGTCATACTTTTTTCTCCCCCTTGTTTTGCGTGACTGATTTAGATATATAGTGTTTCTATGTTAAGTGGTACAACAAAGATGTTATTGAAATGATTAATAAGATTAGATATCAAGCTAATATTAACTCTTCTCCTAGTTTCTTTTTTTTTCTTCTTCATAATCCATGAGTGGTATTTAGCATTGCCACAATATTGATAGGAAGATGGGATTAGTTGCTGCCGTTAACATTGTTATGTTATTGTTGGCATATTATAATCACCGAAAGTCACTTAGTATTTTATTAGCCGAAAGGCAGTAGGGTCTGTTATCATTGTTATACCCTCAGGGATCATCTTGTAATTGTCGTGTTTGTAAACCCTAATCTTCATGTATAAATAAGGGGTGATATCTCATCATACCCTAAGCTGATTTATTCGAGCTTCATGGTATCAGAGCTAAACCTATAGGGTTTCAGCTCACCCTCGTTGGTAGACCTTTTTTCACCAACAACAACAACACTCTAGGGTTCGAAGCTTACCTGGGTGGATCTTCCTCAGCCGTCTTCCTCGGTCGATCCTCCTCAGTCGATCTCCTCAGCCGTCTTCCTCAGTCGATCTCCTCATATTGGTTTGTAGAGAAAAATTTGAATTGGGAGTTGTGCAGCCGTAATTGTTGACTTTTGGTGAATAGTATTAACTTTTTAACTTTTTGAGTAACTTTTTGGCTTTTTGGCTTATTTGGGACTTCCCAAACTTAGCCTTAGCATTGCCACAATATTGATAGGAAGATGGGATTAGTTGCTGCCGTTAACATTGTTATGTGATCTCTTATAAGGAATCATTACTAATTTACTTGTTTGACTTTTCTGTCATAACCACTGGCCTTTTTCACTGTAAAGTCATTTTATGGTTCTTGACAAATTGAATTGTCTTTTGTATTGTGTGATTTTTTTTCTTATAGAAATGTTTCCATGGGATTTGATCATCTGCTCTTTGTCATTATTCTGACGTATATGGAGTATTTTATGAATGTATCTGCAGAGTTCTGAAGATGAACTTTCTCTAAGGAAACTTCTGTATGATGCTGTGATATTAGTGGAGTACTCTTTCCTCAATCCTGATAAAGTAATTCATGTACTTGCTAAACATATAAAAAGTCTTGCCATTAGAAGAGTGGTAGTTACTCACAAAGCGACAGAGTTATTTAGGTATGAAATTTTCAAAATTATGGTTGAAATTTTATTCAGACTCTCATCGTAGAACCTTACAATCATCTGCCTGTCTGCAGGAAAGAAGGGGATCAGACAAAAGCTATCTCTTACATTAATGCCTTCTCTGGTTCTCAATTGCCTTCCCAACTAATTAAGTTGGTCACAAGTGATGTTCACGTGGACAGCAAAGCTGGTCAACCAAAGGGATTGTCACCCAAGGCACTTTTAAGTAAGCGGCTCTATTATTGACCTATATTACATGGACTCTTTAAAATAAATCAAATACTCGTGTTGAACATCCAACACTTGGACAAGGGTGTTTGATGCTATCCATTAGACACTTCTTGTATGTTTATATTTATTACGTATATATTGCTATGTAATTGCTATAAAATGTGTAAAATACTTAGGCCTCGTTTGGTATGTTATAGTTTTAGCTTAAAAGTCAAAAAGTTACTAAAAAAATCAAAAAACCTATAACCTATATCAAAAAGTCAAAAATTCTATTTTCTCTTTACTTTTTGCACATCTTTTTGTAAAAAAATTAAAAAGTCATTCTGAACATACTAGGTAGCGTTTGGTAGAACTTTCTAAATATGATTTGAGAATAGAAGTTGTATTTTGAGTTTGTGAGTTTTGAAATTATGATTTTGAGTGTGGAAAATTTATTTGATAAATGAGTTTTGAAAAGAATTTTAAATTGAGTGTGAAATTTTTGATGTGACATATGATATTTGATACAAAAATTTACAACTCATAACCGAACACACAACTCAAAATTCTATTAGAGTTCATATAAAATTTTAAAAAATTTGAAAAATATTTTTTGTTAAATATATAAAAGTTAATATGGGTCAATTGCAAGAAAAAATAAAAAAAATTACAGTGTTTCGATCAACCGGCCGGACGACTGGTTAGTTCAAATTTTTCCGCCTTCGACCAAGTTTTCAAAAGTGAGCGTGAAATTAATTTTTGAAAGCTTCAAACAAATACCAAGTGAGAACCAATGACTGGAACTAAAGTTCCAAAGCTCTACCAAATAGAGCCCTAGTTTTTTTTACCTCATATTTTAGTCAAAAAGTCAAAAAATTACTAAAATAGTCTGTTCCCAAACGAGGCTTTATTTAATATTGTATGCTGCATCTAATGCCATTTTATTTCACATAATTGATTAAAAATATAAAATATGAGAATTTTTTGCCAAGCCGGTGTACCTATAAATTTGTGGTTTGATGGATCTGATATCTAGATACACACTTGCCCCTGTACCCGAGTCCCTATAACAAAGGGTAGGACCAAATGAATGGCATGAGTTTTAGTATACAGTTTATGACCGATATAGCTCTCTAATTGCATAATTGTAATTGGTCTTATTTTCCAGAATGGTTATTCAAGTTGGAGGATCTAGGGATCCGAGTATTGGATGATGGAATTGCTGAAAACCATTCCAGATTAATTCTTGATATTTCAGAATTCGAACATGAGCAACAAGCATATAACACGGAGAGGACAAAACCAGATGCTGATCTCTTCTACATTGACAACAAGGGGGAAGAGGAAGATGGGAGCCAGGATGAGGAAAGGACAAACGAGTTCATGAGTGCCGCATTTGTTGCTGCTGCGCACACTCTGACATCATCAACAGAAAATGGTAGAAAGAGGAAAGAAAAGGGTAGTGTTGAAAAGAAAAAACGTGTGAAATTTCTGAAGTACAACCTTTCTAACAATACTGGTTCATCGGGAGAGAAGTCCACGTTTCTCAGAAACTCTGGATCAAGCAGTGGAAGCGAGGTTGATGAGAATCCACGCTCGGATGAAGATGTTGAAGAAAAGGAGAATTGAGGACCTTTTTGGCTATTACTTTGATTTGGTATCTGATGTCTAGCCATGCAGATTTTTTCATGGTTGGCCAATTGACAAGAAGCAGGGGCGGCCTTATATACGGGAAGTATCTTGTAGTTTCCCAATCATTTGTCGGTATTTATGACTTTGTTAGGAATTAATAGTGTCTGATTCAACCATAAGAAATGCTGGCCAATGAGGTTGAGAAGTCATTTTTTGTTGTGTTTGATCTCAAGGATCTTAACAAACATTTAAGAACTCTGTTGCAATCTTCTTTCTGCTGAAGCCAGTTCTGTAATAGAAGAGCTGAAAGTTTATTTCAGCCTATTGCAGAATTTCCCCAGAGCTTAGCTTTTGTTTGGAATGGAAATGGCTTTCTTCCAAGAAGTTGTTTAAGTTAGGTCATTGCAACTACGGCGGTAAGAAAATCTGAGCTGTTCATCCAAGTCTGACCTAAATTTTTGTTTCCAGTTTATTTTTCATAATGTACAGGTTGTTTCGATTTAAAAAATAAATAAATAGATCGATATGGACCAAATGGACAAAAATATTATATTTAATTACTTTTTGTTATCAATTTTTTTCTGTGTCAAAAGATAAATGACTAATACTATATATTTTACAATAACGTACATCATATTACTATGAAAATGAACTACCTTCACACTAAAGATCAAATACAAAATTTAAATAATACAAAAGAACTTCAAAAGTGAGAAACATCTCAAATAAAGCAATATAAAATAAAATCTGAACACAAGTGCGAGTAATTGAAACAGTCACTAGTGAGGTTTCAAATCTTGTCAACTCCCTTTCTCATCCCAAAAGATTAGAAAATATATAGTCTGTACAAAAAAGAAACGAAAGAAAAATAAAAAAAACAAAAACAAAGTATGGTTAAACTAACATATGGGAAGGGATTATGTTATTCTTCGATGCAATTGTTTTGGACAAGAACAAGGAATAGATTATGACTAAAGTTATGTTTGTTTCGGTTGAAAAATATTTTTCATTTTAAAATATAAAAAAACATTAATGCCACTACAATACCAGGAATGGGAAATACTGTTGTGTCTCAAGGTACATCAGTTACTGCTACCCCCTTGTAGGAGATTGTCTCGAGTGTGTTTTGATGATCTGAACCGTTCATATTGTAGGGTTCGTCGAGCAGATCATCCATGCAAAAAATTAAGTTGATTGGATATATGTAGTCCTATAATCAAAGCACATTTGTTTTTATAAAAATTAACGGTTAACTTCATAAATTTTTAAAAACGATTAGGACTTGATCATGGGGTTATGAATATCCGATTGACTTGATTTTTACATGAATAATATTGTTGACAAATCCTACAATATGAATGGTTCAGATTATCAAAAAACACTCGGGACAATCTCTTATAAGGGGGCAACAGTAACTACAGTGCCTCAGTACTCCCATTTCTCCATACCATCACCTTCATTGCCACATTACAACCACCATCACCACCATTGTTGCCGCCGCCGCCACCACCAATGCAATTGCCACCATCAAATCACCACCACCTCGTCACTACTAATACAATTATTAATGCATTAATTCCAAGAACACAATTAAATACAAAGAAATTCATAAAAGATATTTTTAGTCGAAACAAACCAAACCTAAGAAATCTCAAAAACTTCAACATCATAGACCAAGCTACCATTTCATGTGCCACATGAAGCTTGATTGCATTGCCATTGGATTAGAGGAGATTGCACAGAGTTTGTTTGGATCATTCAACTCACTTGGACGAATTCCCAAATCATAAAACAGAGGACAGGTTGAGTGCTGCCCCATTCCTCTGTCTGACCCTGAATCAATTCCTTCAAACTTCAACCATTGCCTAACTTTCCTAACTATGAGAGAGCTCCAAGCATGTGACCGAAATTGAACTTCCATTTCCTGCCAAATTTGTTGAATCGAATGGCCTAGGAGTGGGGGTCCAAGGGCTTACTTTGGCTTGTTGGTTTCTGGTTGTAAATTATTCATAAAAATAGATCAATTCAATAGATTAAAAATGAACGGGGTAGGTTAAGTATTGAGGGGTAATTTGGTAATTTGACTTTTAAATTAAAAAATCAAAAAAATAAATAAAAAAACAAGTCATACAATAGTTACTCACGTTTTTTTCATGTAACTATAAAATGGGAACACACTCTTTTCACCTCGTAAAAAAATCATTAAAAAAGTCAAATAATTTTGAATTCTTTTAAATATGATTATGTATACCTACAATCATCGAATCAATTTAAATTTTTTTACTAGAAAAATATAATAATGGAGAATTTTTTTTAAAGTCCCTGGTATTAAAATTTTATAAGATAAATGACATATAATAGTTTTATAATAGTTGGGGTCTCTCAACATTTTCCCAGAGAAAATTTGACTCAGAGAAATTTTTACCTAACTCAGAGAAATTTCGGTCCCAACACAGAAAAATTTCATTGAGGGACTTGTGCCAATAAAAAAAATATCTTTGACCTGTCCTATTACACAAAATTGGAGAGGGATATTTCAGTATTTTTTTCCATAATAAAATCATATTAGCACTATCATTGAATCAATTTGAATATTTCTTTAATAAATGATCCACACACACAATAATTAACAAAATAAACAATTAAAATTACAAAAATAAAATTCAAAATAAATTTCATAAATACGATGCAGTGAATTTTAAAGACACTCAATTCTTTAATAGATAAATTGTGATTCTCGCTATTTAAAAATCATATAATTTAACTTTTTAATATTCACAGATCAAGTTTCATATCCAACTTCAGTTTTCAGTGATGGTGATACCCAGAAAGCTAGCCCACATGGAGATCCAAAAGAGCTAGCTAGCTTGGATAGTGAAACAAGAAATGGCAACTCGCCAACTCACACTTTATCACGGGCATCGGAGGAATAAACAATCAAATTACATTTTAGCACAAATTATACTTTTATCTCTTTTAAAATTTAAAAATTATATACAAATTGCCATATATTTTTAACATAATTATATTAATTTCTCTTCATATTTTAATTTATATAACATTTTTTTTTTGATTCAAGAAAAGTTTAGGAGGAGGGGAGGCTACCCCATTCCAGGGCCAGGGAAAGCGTTACGCAATATTGCCCACCAACAAAGGACTGCCAGCAGCGGGACTCGAACCTAAGCCAAATGGGCGAAGGGAACAAGCCTTACCAACTGAACCAACCCTTGTTGGTAATTTATATAACATTTGAATCATATTTTATCAATAATTTGTGAATTGTATGAATGAAATATGTTGTTGCCATCTTTTTTTTTTTATTTATTAAAAACATATTTACTTTCGTCTATTTTAATATTTACCCACTATTTACAATAGTTTTGATTGATTTAAATTTGCTAAAAGAGAAATCAATATGATTATATTAAATTTATGGCGCTAATTGTATTTTTCTCAAGTCTTGAGAGAAGCGAGCATAATTTACCCCACATTTTAATATTGATAATAACCTTACATGTTTTATGTTGCGTATACCTTTTTATTGGAGTATGGATCCAATTGGTTTATTAAAATATTTAATTTGATTTGGTATTAGTTATAATATATTTTTAAGAATAATGTTATATGTATCAATTAAATGTACTAACTAGTATATTAACATATGATGTGGTATAATTTTAGAGGTTTTGGATATTTCTAATTTGTAGGGGTGTTCGTGGTTCGGATTGGGACAGTTTGCGGTTCAATTTAGACCCACCCGCATCTACGCGGTTTGAAAAAAAGTCAACCTGCAGCCGCTCGAAGTGTGATTTGCGTTTTGTGCTGATAGGGTTCGCGGATGTACGGGGCAGTTGTAGGTGGTTTGCAGATTCGACTTTTTTTTCAAAAATTTATTTTTGAGTCTTTTTTTCCCATTTTGTCAATATTTATTTTGGGTCATTTTCCTCTAATTTTCTAAAATGCTCCAACATTAATAATTAATGAATTAAAACTTATAAAATAAAAAACGCAACAAAATTAATTCCTAATCCAAACAAATCATTCAAAATCCTAAATCAAATAATAAACTAACACAAGCATATATTTCAAAATTATAAACTATATTATCAATCACATTCACTATCTACTATCCTAGCAATACAATTAAAGTAAAATCATTCTAAATCCTAAACTTACCTAAAAATAATTATTCATTAACTTTTACATTGATCCAAAGTGCAATAAATAAAAAAAAGAAGAAGAAGTAATTCTTCATTAACTTACATTCATCCAAAATGCAATTAATATATATATATATATATTGTCGTCAAATTTCATTCAATTCAAACCCATGAAATAAAATAAAAACATTTGCAAGATATCAAACTCCATCGTGAATCACATCCAATCTAACTTTTAAAAATTTCAAATCCATCCATTTGGTTGATGAACCTTGTACAAAAACAAACTGAAAAATATAAACTTTAATCTTCAATCTTCATAATTCCTTTGACAAAAAAAGTGTAAAAGAATAAAATAATGAAAAGATGAACAAATGTCTATATATTGCATCTCAATATAATAAGAAAATGTGTTGAGTATATGAAAAAATTACCAATGAGCAAATGGATATTAGAGCTCAATTATAGTATCAACATTATAGATTGAACTTGAAGATGAATTTGACTCCAAAGTACCTAATTAGGAGTCAATAAGAGAAGATTAACAAAACTTACATTAGAAAATAAACAATACAAATAACAATGAAGATAAATAAATTTTCATATTACCCGAGCCATATTGCTCAAATTTCTCCACATCATCCATCGCCTTTCAAAGAGAAATTGAAAATTTTGAGTACATACAAGAGCTTCAATCATAGAAGGCGAGAGTGAACTATGAGATGGGTCAAGAATACGCCTCCCGTACTAAAAGCCGACTCCGACACAATGATAAAAATAGGCATGGCCAACACATCCCTTGCAGGTTGCAATAACATTCTATATTTGGTTGCATTCATCTTCTAATAATCCAAAATCTCAAATGTTTGATTCTTTACAAAATGTTCAACATCGGACAAATATTGTTCAAATTCCAACTTAGATGCACTAGTACATCGCCCCTCCAAATAGGAATTAAATTGGAAGTCAACCAAAGAATAGGGATCATTATCATCATCTTCCACCATATTCACAATTTCACTCACACTTAGAAGTTTCTCATTTGAATGATAAAATGTGACATAATGGCTATACAAATGACTCAAACAACTCTTAACCTTGTATACCATATCTTCCACCTTCCTATTATCTTCAAGAAATAAATTTGAAAAGCAAAACTCCAAGTAAGCCATTTTTTTGGTAGGATCAAGAACAACCGCAATATACAATAACAAATTCATCTCACTTCCATCCCCTCAATACTTGCTAAACTTTTGTTTCATAGTCTTTGCCATTGTGCTCAAAGTATCATCCTCCTCCAAAATTAATTGGTTAATTTTTCTTTCAATAACAAACATTTCTTCGTAAAAAGCATTGGAAGTAACAAAGAGAGACCCGACAAATTTCTTAGTTGCGAGATAAAATAATTTTAGAAACCTCAAAAACAATCTGTATTTTTTCCAATCGAACTCATTCGGATTTTTCCTTATGCCACCATCAACATCCTTGATATAAGGATCAAAATTGGAATCCACAAACTTCAAGCAATTAAAAGCCTTCTCATACTTTTCGGCGGCCTCTAACATCAAATAGGTAGAGTTCCACCTAATTGGTACATCTAGGCATACAAGAGCTTTTGAATCAAGTTTGAGTGTGACCACACAGTTCTTAAAAACATCATGCCTATGAATAGTAGACCTCACATATCTCATCGCAAGTCTAATGTTGGCAATAGAATCGTCCATTTCTTTCAACCCATCACTCATAATGAGATTAAGAATATGTGTACAACAACGCATATGAATAAACTCATGTTGCAAAACAGTCCCCTTCCAATATTTGGTTATCGTTTTCAAATATTGAATGGTAAGATTATTAGAACTAACATTATCAACTGTTAAGGTGAATATGCTATCAATGTTTCACTCAATCAAACACAACTCAATTTTCCGACCTAATGTTTCTTCTTTGTGATCTTCAACTTGTTGAAAATTTATGATTCTTTTTTGAAGTTTCCAGTTATCATCAATGAAATGAGCAGTCGAACACATGTAACACAAATACTGAATAGATGTCCAAGTGTCCGTAATAAAGTAAATTTTACGACTCTTCATGGCCTGCTTTAACTTATCCCTTTCATTCTTGAATATGTTAAGCACTTTTTTAGATATGATTTGAAGAGAGGGAATTGGTGTGAATTTAGGTTGCATGACATTACAAAATCTTTTATACCCAACCCCTTCCACAAATCTAAATGACAACTCTTCAATGACCACCATTTCCGCAAAGTGACCTTTTACAAGTATCAAAATTAAAAGTTATTGCTACAACCTCAACACCCTCTTCGTTTTGTTTTGGTTTAAGATTTAATGTTTGTTAACCATCTGTATCCCTATTTGGATATTCTTTACAATTGGGTGTATGACTCCTCAAATTGCTAGTCCCATGAAGTCTAGAGTAAGCCAAATACTCTTTCTTGTAATATTTACATACGGCTCTACGTTTCCCATCGGTCCCTACAACCTTATCAAAATGATCCTAAGCTGTGGATGGTGCTCTCTTCATTCCACTCTCACTCTTTCTCTTTGGGGGTCTAAGAGGCTTAGGTTCATGTTCAGGTTCGGCCAAAGGGGGATTCATTTAAGAATTAAAGGATTCTGCAGGTAAAAAATTGATTGCGGGAGATTCAACACTATCCTCCATTTAAACTGGATTACAAAAATTACAGATTCAATTTCAATAACATAACAGATTACAGATTCAATTTCAATAACATAATTTCAGATTCAACACGATTACATATTCAATTGCAATAACATAACAAATTTAATAACAGATTCAAACATATTCAATTTAATAATAGATTCAATCACCCTCTAAATTTTTTTTAATAACAGATTCAATTTAAAATTTCAATAACAAATTTAATTTCCATTTCTAACACAGATTCAATAACATAGATTAATAACAGCTTCAATTCCAATAACACAAATTCAATTCCAACTCTCAGATTTAACACAGATTCAATCACAGATTGAATAATAGATTTAATTCCAATAACAGACTCAATTAATGTCCAATATATTCGATAAACTCAAAATCTTAGTCACACAATTGAAACAGAATCTGATTGCATTAAAAAAAAAAATATCAGAGACAAAATTTGATTGCATAAAAAAAAAATCACCATTGAAATAGAATCTTTGTCATACAAACAAAAATAAACTCAGAGATCTGTTGCTACACATCTGATTGCATAACAAAAAAAATTCAAAGATAGGTGAGAGACAGACAGATAGGCAGACATATCTGATTGCCTAAAAAAAAATAAAAAATCAAAGATCGAGAAGAGAGAAAGACAGACAGAGACAAAGAGGCTTACTTGTGAGTTGCCGAGCAGAGTCGATCTTGCAAAAGTCAATCGGTCTCTTCGCCGGTCGACATAGAGAGAGAGAGAGAAAGAGATGGAAGAATGAGGAAGCGAGATTAGAAGAGAGGCTGCGCACAGAGAGACACATATCCGATTGCCTACAAAAAAATCAGAGATCAGGGAGAAGAAAGAGACATAGAAATAGAGAGACGCTTACCTGAGAGTTACCGGAGAGGGAGAAGAGATCTTGCGAAGGTCGATTGGTGCGATGAGAAGAAAGCTGTGAGCAAATGAAAAATGAGAAATTGATGGGATGAGAGAAAAGAGAGCAGTTGCACAGATTTGAGTATGAGAGATTAGGCTTTTTTACTTTGGTTTGTTTGGGTATAAATGAAGATGAATGGTCTAGATTTTAAATAAATTAATTTTATTTATTTATTTTGTTAATGCGGACGGGTTCGGCAGGTGCGATTCAAACTCGCAACCCGCCTGTAACTCGAAAATTAGCCAGAATCCAAATCGCACTTGACTCTATTGTATTTGCGAAACCGCCCATATGTGTGCGGGTCAGTTCGGGTAGGGTGGTTTAGGTGGGTCAGATAACCCTATGCCCATCCCTAGTAATTTGTATAATAGGTGGACTCAGTAATAATGACATAACACTAATTGGTATATTAGTGTGTACATTAATTGGTGCATGTAGCACCACCGTATTTTTAATATATTATATCTGAATTTTGGAGGCCCAATGGATATTTAATAATCTGTTTGATGGCAATTAGGGTTATCATAAAAAGCCCAAGAATTAACAATATTTATATATATATTGTTTTGTTCTCTCGAAATGCAAGTGGCTACTACAAAAATTGATTTAATTTTTGGGGGGTTTTGTTCTTGGAGCATAAGCATGATGTGTGAGTACTTTTGGATTAAAAGTCAATTTGGTGGAGTTTAAATTCAAAAGGTTTTTTTTTTTTCGTTGTACTTTGTTGTGTTGATGGAAGCTATTTTGATTCAAATTTGTAGCATTCTTCAACTTTGTTTCGAAAACTTTTGTTCATCTATTTGGTGAGGTTTTTCCTCTTGATTATTTGTGCTTATTTGGAATTCACCTAAGGGTGATTTTGTGAGACCATTCGTGTTTCATTTGTAATCGTTTGAAATCTTTTGGTTGATAGTGAAATCAGATTTCAATCTTGTGAACGTACTTCACATTGAGGGAACCACGTAAAAATTCTTGTGTTGTTGTTAATTTAATTGTTCGCATTAGTTTTTATTTCCATTGATTGATTTACTTATGGAAAATCATATATTTTTTCCTATTAACTGATATCAGAGTTTACGGTTTATTTGGGTTTATTTATTTGTGTAAATCACTGAAGGATAATGTATGTCGCATGTCTAGCTTCAATGAAAGTAATTGGGTAACTTGGAAAACTAATATGGAGGATTTATTATTTTGTAAAGATTTGTATGGACCCATTGAGGGTGATAGTGGCAAACTCGAGGGTATGAAAGATGATGAATAGAAGAGGCTTAATAAAAAAACCGTTGGTGTTATCCATCAATGGATTGATGACAGCGCATTTCATCATGTTGCTACTGAAATTTCGGCCCATGATTTATGGAAAAAAATTAGAAGGTTTTTATGATAGATACCCGCCACAAACAAAGCTTTTATGTTTTGTAAATTGGTTAATTTAAAATATAAAAATGGTAGGTCCATTCCGGAACATTTGAATGAAATAAAGAGTATTGTTAACCAACGTACTTCTATGAAAATTGTTTTCGATGATGAGTTGCAGACTTTGATTATGGCACCCTAAATATGTAATTAATAGCACAACCAATCACGATAATAGCAACAATAATAATAATAGTGATAGTAAAAATAAAAAAAATAAAAAAAATTTTATGATGGTATGTAATAAAGTGTAATTTAATTTACATTAGGAGTTATTGTGCAATTATTGTATTAATTAGAGTTATCTCAGTGTGCATAAGTTCAAAGGAAAAAAAAAAAATTTCATGTATTGAATAAAGCCTTGGATGTTGGATAAGGATAAGGCTAAGGCTTATCCAAAGCATATCCAAGCAATATCCAAAGCAATAATGAAGGGGGCAATGTGTTCATAGCTCCAGTGGTTAAGCCATGTATAAATAGAGGGGTTAGCAATGAAGTGAAGAAAGACGATGAGAAATAAAAAGAAAGAGCGAGGAAAGAGTTACAGTGAACGTGAGGAGTTAATATTACGATGAGTTTAAGTCATCATAATATATTTTACGTATATTTTGAGTTACTATAATTTATTCTACGCAAATTATATTTTATAAATTATATTAATATTTCAATTACGTTGATTATTTTCTGAACTCTAAATTGAAACCCATGGATATGGTTGTTTAAATTTTAGAAATTATTTGACAATGATTTTGTAAACAATTATTTTCTATAAGTACCATCACGGGAGTCCCATGCCTTAGGGAACTGAAATAAATCATTGGCTTCTGATTGGTCACCTTGTGACCCTCTGTTTGTCATGGATCCATTGATCTCTGTTTTGACTGTCACCCCGGTGACTTCTGTTCTGTTCTATTATGTATCATGGTTATGGTTATTTATTTTCATGATTTCTGTACTTCAGTTTTTGCCACTTGACTAAGTTGTTTATTCAAATTAAGTTATGTTAATGTTTTAGCTTAAAATAACTATCAATGGTTATTTTGTGTCCCCTATACTCTTGGCATAATATTTCTCACTCTGCTGTGTGCTTATAGTTGTTATCCCTTTCAGGTGATGAGATGTAAGTAAGAATTGTAACCTCGTATAGTGGGACTCACACGGAAATTGGATGCCGACCTGTTACATTTGTTTTTTTTTTCTTCTTTCTTTTTTTCCCTTTCTTTTTCCTAACTTTTTGTCACCACATAATAAAATAATAAAAACCCAATGGATGTATTTCCTTTTTGTTTCCATAGGAGGGTAATTAATGAAGTTAATTTTCTGTGTAATTCTTTTCTTACTTTTATTTCGTTTCCGCTTGCGCCACTTAATTTGTGAAATCAAAATTAGTAAGTTGCAATTTCAGTCCTAAGCCCCTGGGGTTGGGTCGTGACATTGATGTTACTTAGTTCTTTGCCGAAAGTTTGAAGACTTTGGTTGTAATGGTTAGTAATTCGGCGCCCGATAGAGTTGTCACAATGAGCCAAGTCACTAGTAGCTTGTTGAATGAAGAAACAAGAAGAAGATCAGCGGGTTCTTCTCATTCGGAGGCATTTGTTGTGAGAGGCCGAAGTAAAACAAGGGGGATGAGTAAGACTCCTCATGGTGGTGATCAAAACCGTGACAAATCAATATATAGTTCTTTTTCAAAGAAAGACATTCAGTGCCATTTT